GGAAGGGACTGTATCTCCGTGATCAACTGTCTGTCCTCTTAAAAAAAAGTAAAAAGTGAAATAGTTGTGCTACACAATGCAATGCTATACCTTAGACATCTTGATAAAAAGAAATTTGAGGCCACAGCAAAGAGTCCTGGGTTATGAGCGAGTGGTTGGCACTGCATTATTTATGGGATGAGTGAGAGACCTTTTATGGATGAGAACTCACATATGAGGCTATTGTGATTTGCATCTGTGATCCATAAAACCTTGATTTTGTTTTTCAGATTTGTTTTCACTTTTACAAATAAAGATGAGTCAAATTGAAATTTACGGAGGGAGTGCCAGAGAAACCTTTTGATTAAATCTAATAGAAGGGATAACTGTGCTGCTACTTAGCATTTGAGAATAAATTCTGGTTTCTTTTGACCTTCCTGACGGGTTTATCTTTGGCACATCTAATTTTCTGGAGTGTTTTCAAAGATGTGGGCATTTGGGATAAGGATATTCTCACAGCATTTTTTTTTCAGATCTCTCTGTCAGAACCCTCAAAATTCTTTCAAAGGGAGATTCCAGAGTAAGCTAGCTTTTACCAAAAAGGCGTCTGGGTTAAATTAAGCATATGCTATCCTTATTGAAATGATTCCCAATTTAGACCTTTCCTAAGAATAACTATCTTTCTAAAAAGGAGAAATATTCTTAAAGGTGCTTGAGATGAGGATCCTTTGATTGATGGGCACAAGAATACTCTTTATATCCGGTGGGGAACCACACACACAGCTAGGGCGACACAAATTAAAAACAACTTTATTTTTTTAAAAAAATAAGTTTATCAATGCCTTTTGTCTTCACTCCACAATCACTTCCATTGAACATTCCTTTGTAACAAAGAAAATCATTTTGGTAAATTGAACCAATGCAGTTGCACATTATGCATCATATTCTCCCATCCCTTTACTAAGAAGAGAGAGGTGTGGTTCATCATCTGTTCTCTAGGACTGAGATTAGTCATTACAATTAGTCAAAGTTTGATTGCTTCTTAGTACTGTGTACCTTTATTTTATTGAAGTCACTTTGTCTATTTCTCTCCTAGTTCTGTTTCCTTTGCTGTACATCAGAGTGTATAAATTTTTTCAGCGTTCTCTGAATTCTTTCTATTACTCATTTCCTTCCAATGCAATAATATTCCATCATTTTCATGTGCTATAAATTGTCCAGCTGTTCTCTAATCTATGGGCACTCACTTTTTTCAAGTTTTTAAGTAACTTTATTCGTAAGGGAGAAATGTAAAATATTTCACCTATATGCTTCTAAAATTCAGAACAGGGAACATAAGACTGTATCATAAATAAAACAATGTTTTAAAAGTTCAGTTTCGAGTTATGGCCATTTAAGGAAATAAATCAAATGATATGTATTTATTATTTTTCTATTGGGTTCCACACACTGTGCTAGATTCTGGAGATATAAAGACAAAAATGAAACAGTTCTTGCCCTTGAGGTAGCTGGTGGTGTAGTAGGTAGGGCATTGGGCCTGGCCTCAGGAAGTCCTGATGCCTACAGACATTCACTAGCTGTGAGGCTCTAGGCAAATCACTTAACATTTATCTGCCTCAGTTTCCTCATCTCTAACATGGGGATAATAATAACATCTCCTTCCTGGGGTTTTTATGAGGATTAATGAGGTAATATTTATAAAAAACTTTGCAAAACTTAAAGCATTATACAAATGCTAATTATTATTATTGATGTTATGATTATAATTATATTCTATCAGGGAAAATGTGATGTGAAAAAAATACGCACATGTAAGATAAATACAAAATGTACAACATTCACATATGTGAATATGTGTATACAAGATAGAGTTTATTTTTCAAAAATATATTATTTATATATTTTAAACATTAAATTTTCTTTTTGAGTTTCAAATTCTCTCTCTCTTCTGTACCCCTCCTACACACTGAGAAAGCAAGCAATTTGACATGAATTATACATGTGAAATCATGCAAAACATATTTATATATTAGCCATGTTACAAAAAAAGAAAAAATAGCATGAAAAAAGAAAGTGAGAAAACTACACTTTAATCTGCATCAGCTCTCTCTCTGGAGGTAGATAGCATTTTTCATCATGAGTCCTTTGGAATTTTAGTTAAGTCTTTCACAGTTGATCATCATTATAGTATTATTGTCACTGTATACAATGATCTCCTGGTTCTGCTCACCTCACTTTGTATCAGTTCATAGAAGTCTTCACGTGTTTTTCTGAAACTATCTCCCTCATCATTTCTTATAGCACAATAGTATTCCATCACAGTCATATGCCACAACTTGTTCAGTCATTTCCCAATTGATGAGCATCCCCTCAGTTTCCAATTCTTTGCCCCACAAAAATAGTAGTTATAAATATTTTGCATATATATGTGTGTGTGTGTGTCTTTTTCCTTTGTCTTTGATCTCTTTGGGATACAGACCTAGTAGTGGTATTGCTGGGTCAAAGGGTATGCTCTTTGGGCATAGTTCCAAATTGTTCTTCAGAATGGTCGAACCAGTTCACTGCTCCACTAACAGTTTATTAGTGTACCTATTTTTCCCTCATTCCCTTTAGCATCTATTATTTCTGATAAGTATGAGGTGGTATTTCAAAGTTGTTTTAATTTACCTTTCTCTAACCAATAGTGATTTAGAGTATTTTTTCATGACTATAGAAGCTTTGATTTCTTTTTCTGAAAACCATCTTTTGTATCCTTTGATGATTTATCAATTGAGGAATGGTTCTTATTTTTATGAATTTGACCCAGTTCTATACTCAGTAAGTATTTGAGAAATGAGACTTTTATCAGAGAAACTTGCTGTAAAATTTTTGATATTACCTCGTTGTCTGTGCTACTTTGTAGCAAAATGTAGTTTCTCTTATTATCTCTTTTAATTAGGCCTATTTTAGCTTTTGCTTTGTCTGAGATCATGATTGTTACCCCTGTCTTTTTTTTTTTTAAGTTTAGCTGAAGCATATTAGATTTTGCTCAGGCCCTTTATTTTAATTCTGTGTGTGTCTTTCTGTTTCAAGTATGTCTCTTATAAACAATATATTGTTGGATTCTGGTTTCTAATCCATTCTGTGATCAGCTTCTGTTATATGGTTGAGCTCATCTCATTCACATTCACAGTTACGATTAATGCATTCCAACCCATCCTGTTTTCCTCTGTTTCTTCTTCTCTCTCTTTTTATACTATTCCTCCTCAAAAGTCTGTTTTGTTTCTTTCCACTGACTCCCTTAATCTGTCCTCTCTTTTATCATCCCCTCCTTTACTCTAATCTCCCCTCCTATTTCTCTATTGGGTAAGCTACATTTCTCATACACCACTGAGTGTGTGTGTATACACATATACATATACACATATATATGTATATGTGTTCTTCCCTCTTTGAACTAAGTCTAATGAGTGAGGTTCAAACATTGCCTGCCACCTCCCCTCCAACCATATACCCCCTCCACTGTAAAGCTCTTTCTTGTGCCCCTTTTTATGTCAGAAAATTTTGCCCTTCACCTCTCCTTTCTCCCTTCTCCCAGTGCATCCCTCTTTCTCACCCCTTCATCTTTTTTGGAGGTCATTCCAGCATAATCAACTCACACCCATGCCTTCTGTCTATGCAGACTCCTTCTAACTACTCTAATAATGATAAAGTTCTTAGGAGTTATGATTGAGACCCTTATGATTACTCTTTCACTTTTACCTTTTTATGCTTCTTTTGAGTATTGTGTTTGAATGTTAATTTTTTTATTCAGCTCTGGTTTTTTCATCAGTAATACTTACAAGTCCTCTATTTAATTAAATATCTATTTTTTACCCTTGAAATATTATACTCAGTTTTGCTGGGTAGGTTATTCTTGGTTGTAATCCTAGCTCCTTTGGTCAAGTAAATTCTTATAGGCATAAGGGTAAAGAAAGTTTCAGAGTATGGTGTACTCATAGAAGATAGAGACCAGTCTGAAGACATTGGGTTTCTAGGACTGGGGAATGGAGAGAGAAAAAGAATGCTGGAATTAAATTTAGGATGTCATCTCATCTCCCTCATTTCACAGATAAGAAAAATGAGAGATTAATGGAATTGCCCAGTTACACAGTGGTACAATTGGAATTTAAACTCAGGTCCCCCCACACCAAATTCAGTATTATTTCCACTGCACCACACTGCCTGTGGTTTTGTCAATTCAGTAGCTATGGTTTTGTCATTTTAATAGATGGCGTAGGGAATCAGTGATACAGTCTTAGGCAAGAGTTATTTTTTTCTTTCTGGGCTTCCCTTATAAAAAGATGAGTGTGTATGGACTAGATCATATTATCTATCATATATCATATATAACATGACCCCTCATAATATCCTGATATATGCTCTTGTTCTTTGGTGTATTTATGATTTGGAATAATTGATAATAAACTACATGACCCCTAGGCTCTCTTAGTATAATGTAGTAACCTAAGGCTACTAGTACTTATATATTCAGTGGGTCACAGAATTTAGTTTAATCCATCCCCCTCAATCTTCTTTGATACTTTAAAAAGCAGGCGATTTAATTCTCATGGTTATTTTCTTTACTGAAGCCGATTGACACCCTCCTCTTTCTGAGTAGGCAGACTATAAAGGTTGCTGTGACCAAAACACTCATTGCCTCGAGGCTGGCTGTGCTGAGATCAGTTCTCTTTGAACTATGCTCGACTTGTCTCTCAGGCAGTAGGCACATTGTCCATTGCTCGGCCCCAAAGTGGAGCCTTTCTGGTTTAGAAGGACTTGCCAGAAGTTCTGCTTTCCACTGTCATGGCCTTCAGGAGACTTCCCAGCGGCATACTAGGAGGTATGAGAAATGGATTCTGGTGTAACTTTAATCGCAGTGCCAAAGAAAAAAGTGAATGATGATAAAGCAAAAGACAAGAGACTAAAAGGGGCAAAAAGTCTTTATTATAATATAACATCATTTTAATAGATTTACATATTCACAGAGTTCTCTAGCACTTATCACCCCATAAATGGCAAAAAAAAAAATCTCCTGTACTTTAAAAAAATTATCAGTGGCTTCTACTATTCTCTTCAACTAAACCTTCTAACCTGCTGGGCTTATCAAGGGGGAGGGGCCCAAGATTTTTCTAAGAATCTCCAGACTCTAGTTTTCTGTAAGTTGTGATTGCACTCGATCACTATTGATCAGGGCAGAGGAGGTTACATATTGTTAACTAAGACAACAGACAATGGGTTTTCGACATAGGGACGACAAATTATGTGCCACAGCCCTGAAGAACATAGTAGTACTTTTTGCAAAAAAGATTCATTCCTTACAGAAAAGCATCTCTGGAATTTTAGCAAATACTATTTTTTTTTTTGTTAGCTTAGAAGAAACCTTAAATGGATCTATTTATAATTATTTTGTTACTTGAAACAGTTAACTAAACTTTTAATTCCTAGTGTCACTATTCTTGAGACAGAAGAAAAAAATGACAGTTTTAGTATAAGTCATTCATTTTCTTGCTAAGTGATTTTTTTTTCTAATCTTTTGGGGGGCATTTTATTTTTATGGATTTCAATAGTCTGGACTACCATATTGGTGATTCCTGTGAATTGCACGATTGTATAAAAATATAATCATGGTGACTTTTATTGAACCAGTCTATGCCTACAGTGATATTCCTATGTAAATAAAATTCTCAAGGTTCAAGGTGATTTTTTATCTTCTCGATTTTTGGCTGTTCAAGCCGCTTCAAGAATTACACTCCTTAGATTCCTGACGGCTGAAAGAAAAATGAATCGTGTGAGTTCATTTTATTTTGAGGCATTAAGCAAAAGAATAACTGTTTTGAAAATGATTCATAACAGTCCAGCTGTTTCTGAGGTGTCTCACAAGATAAAAAAAAAAATAAAAATAGCTATTGTAGAAAAACTTCCTACCTTGCGTGAGCGTAAAAGTAAACATGTGTTGAAGTTTCCTTTTAGGAAAGGAGTTCTTAACTGGGGATCCACAAACTTAAAAATGTTTTTGATAACTATATTTCAGTATAATTGGTTTATGTATTTTATCTTAAACATTAAAAACCTCTTTTGGAGAAGATGTCTATAGGATTTATCAGACTGCCAGGGAGGTTCATGGCACATAAAAAGGTTAAGAACCTTTATTTAAAGGAAAGTATTTTGAATTTGGACCAGTTTATCAACATACAATTAAACTGATTCCTTGGCATTTGGGGAATAAGAACATACAATGCCTTGCAGCAGAACTGGGGCTAGGGATAGGTAAGTATGGCAGCTGCCTAGGGCATAATGTATGTAAGGGAGCACATTTCATAGGTACATCATTTTTAAATGCTAGAATATCTCCATGCAGGTATTTATTGTGTGCCAAGGGAAGTCACAGATGTTACAGTGAAAGATGAAATCCCCTAGTGGCCCTCACACAGGGTTGGGGGTGGAGGTGGGAAAGGATACCACTTAAGAACCATGCCCAAATCACACATATGCTACGTCCCAGCTCTGCTTTGTCCACACCAGTTGCTCAGTAAGTACTTGTTGATTTTCTTTATTTTATTCTTTTTTTTAAAGGCAATTAGGGGTAAGTGACTTGCCCAGGGTCACACAGCTAGTAAGTGTCAAGTGTTTGGTTTGAGGTAGAATTTGAACTCAGGTCCTCCTGACTTCAGGGCCAGTGCCCTATCCACTGCGCCACCTAGCTGCCCCAATTTTCTTTATTTTACTAAGCTGTGCTGTACCTGTCAGCCTCTGGCTCTCTGCTTGATTGTTCACTGGAAAGCCTTTTGTTTCTGGAGTCACTCGACTGCTCTGTTAAGAAAGAGAGGTTGACATTTAAATAAATTCAAAGGTTTGCCCAAACCAGTCATTTGTGAGTAGAAAGTAACCCCAAAACAATGGAGACTGGGGATTCCCCCTTCTGGAGGGCCCTGGTCTCATCAGCTGTACCACAATGGCTAAATATCTATAGAGAACATGCTTCACAACATGCTTCACACTGTAAGATAAATGTATCTTTGTAATTCAAACAAATATAGGAAACATGATCTAAATCAAGGTGGAACTAAAGAAGGTTTTAGTTTGTGTCCTAGTTGATTTGAGCAAGGATAATTTTCCTTATCCTTTATTGTTTTGCCACTACAACACCAGTTAGAGCACTCTTCAGTTCTTTATATCACTGATTCTGCCTCCATCTTATTACATTGATATCACACTGAATTTACATGATTAATTCTACATTCACAATATCTCTACCATCCATCCTTCCCTCTCTTGGTCTCATTGCCACCACACTCACATGATGCTTTATTACTAACTGCCTTCTAATTTAGTAATAATTTCTGGTTTCTTCCCTCTTCTACATTCTCCTCCAAGTCAAGTAGACACGTCATGCCATTGCGAGATTAACCTTTCTGATGAGTGGGTGAATGAGCTGGTCACATAACTCTTCTGCTCAAAGCCCCACAATAACTCTCCATTATCTGACTAGTAAAGTTCAGTCTCATCCTAACATTTAAGGCCACCCTAAAGCAGCAAGTCATCTTGAGGGAAAAACAAGAGGTGGCAAGTGCCAGGCATATTCAACTTCTACCATTACCTTCCCTGAG